GATACCCGGGGGATACCCGGGGGATACCCGGGGGATACCCGGGGGATACCCGGGGGATACCCGGGGGATACCCGGGGGATACTCGGGGTAAGTCTGGGGTATGTCTGGGTGACATCCGGGAAGGCCGTTTAATATTGCGGGGAGTAAGGAGTAACCGATCCCGTTGGCCACTTGCGACACAGTGACGGAGACCAGGTCGGGCAGGCACCCATGGACCCATCATGGCTCCAGACCCAGGCCCATATAGAGATATGAGTTTTGCTTCAACTGGCAAACTGTTCTACAGTTACAACTGGCGAACGAAAGAGTTCTGCAGTTAGAACTGGCAAACTTTCAGTTCGCCATTTGTAACTGGCAAACTACTAAACACTAAGATTAGCAGAGCAACCAGACATACCCCAAATGTTCCCCGAGTATCCCCCGGGTGCCCCCCGGGTACCCCCCGGGTACCTCCCCGTTCCCCCCCCGGCCCCCCCCCCCCCCCTGGGGGGGGAGCTCCAGGGTATCCCTCGGATATCCCCCGGAAATCCCCTGGTAATCCCCCGGAATCCACAGGCGTACCCTTCGTTAGGTTACCGGTGGGCCCCCGGAACGCAACTTGTTTTGGGAAAGCACTGCAAAAATGCTTCCAAAGAATACGTTCGTATTATTATCTTATGTATAATGGCAAACAATTTTCTTGGCAGTCTTCCACGAATTTTCCAGCATCACAATATGAAGTTCTCCATAAGATTGCAAACTATTTCTTTGTAATGCAAAAACACTGTATGCAAGGATTTTGACAGCTTCCCGTGAAAAGCGAAACGTATATGGAACGTATAGGGGTTATATATTAGCTGTATAAGTCTACTTTGTGAATATATCCCGTATGTGGCCGTGTACACAACCCGCACATGGCAAGTAATGGAGGGTGGGGCACATAGTGACACTTTTTTTGGAATTTGGGCTGAATTCTCTTTTGGTGGACTCAATCGAGTGGGTAGAAGTTTCTATAGGTTCTTTGAACGTTTGCCGAGGTAAATGGACCATTGGTTGCCTGGAATACAAACTTTCAGATCCTTTGAATTGGGTCTAAAGCAAGCCCTGCATTTGTCAGTAAGTACCTCGGCCTCGCCTCGGCCCTGGCCCGGAGAGCACTTAGTGATAGACGGTAAAACAAAAATTTCTACGTAACTTTCACGGGCTAAAGGGATATTTCTGACAGAACTACGCCAATTTTACCAATATTATTGAGCATTTTACACAGTTTTGGATAGTTCATGGTTTTGTTTCTGATAGAAGGAGGGCAATGATTTTCCGTTAAAATTATTTATATGGCTGCGTGCGCAGTTATTGGCCTCGCCCCTGGGGGTACGATCATTGCAGGGACACCTTAAGATTACTTGAATTTACCGAAGATTACCAAAGATAACCAGTGATTACCAGTGATTACCAGCGATTACCGGGTGATTACCAGCGATTACCGGGTGATTACCAGAGTTTACTAGAGCCAAAGTGTTCACCCTCACCCACTCTCCATCTATCGGTTAGCCGAGCCACCAGTTTAGACATCTTTAGTATAAATAGTAACAATTATGAGGCTACAATACACCTGATTACCGCAGTTGGGCACCCCTCGCAGTAAACATTAATTTTGATAAATTTGTCATGAAATTCATTGACACTTCCAACTTAGGAACAGTGTTATTAAATTTAATAACGGCAACTTCATTACACACCATTGAATTTTCATTACACGCCCATTTTCAGTGCTTGTTATGACATTTTCATAACAATGTTATTAAATTTTCATCACATGTTTATAAAACAGTTACGAAATTGCCTTCGACCAGAGGCAGCATGAGACTACGTGACAGCTCGCCCACTTTCAGGCATTCCTCGCGGCCGATTGGTCAAGGGCGAGGAATTCGCAATCCAAGGGTTCCGGGTTCATCTCCCGGTAATGTGCGGTAACCTTGCATGGTTAGGGCCTTCAAACCATGGGTCCTAGAAATAAAGGCTGGTGTCCCGTAGGTCTAAAACAAATAGGCCGATGTCGGGCGCTGATTTTTTCGTCACTCGTCAACTCGTTATACACGAGGAAAAATACTAGCAAGATACTCGCGGCTACTCGCGAAAAATTCGCGAAAACTCGCGAAAAATTCTTCGAATTCTTCGAATACTCGCCATTACTCTCATAAACGCGCGGATACTCGCTTATACTCTCGAATACTCGCGGATACCCACGCAAATCGTTGTACACCCACTTGGAGTTGGAGAGTCGAGGACCCCTCGGATTTTTTGAGCAAGGTCCGATGTTTTGAGCGCCGCTCCGTTAGGACATCGAACTTTTTGTTTTCATTGAAATGCGGGCGAACTATTGGCAAAACGTCGAAAGTACTCAACACACAAACGGAGGATGAATGTCTCACCTACATTTTCGGTCTTGGAAGTTTTCGTCATATTCCGCATGGTTTGCCCAGGGAAAGGTCCGCTGTCCATTCCGCGCGGCGCTCAAAACATCGGACTTGCTTAAAAAGTAAGCTAAGCGCACGACATCGGCCTCTTTGTTTTAGACGCGTGGGACATCGGCCTTTGTACTTGGGAGCCATCGTAAAATCCGTTAGTGGGTTGAGAGGTTAAATACGCCAAACAAAATTCTTTTAAAAATTTGTCATTTTTTAAATGAAATCTGTTATGAAAGTAAATGACTAAATTATAATAAGAATTTATAACATTGTAATGAAATTGTAATGAAAATTGCTTCATATTAATGTTATTAAAATGTAAACAATTTATTTTAACAGTGAACTAGAAGCAGAAGCAGCGGATCCGGTAGGCCCGGTAGCGAAGTTGGTGGCGGTGCGTAACGGCCGCAGCGCCACCACCCGTGTACCACGTACCCTTGTAATCGACGTTAGTCCTTTATTGTACCTTACGTCTGCACTGGCTAAATTTCCGCCATGTCGCCCTGCAGTGAACGTTACATTGCTTAGTCGAATATGGTGTTTCTTATCCGTGCAGTGCTTCATTTCATAGAACTTAGAGACCAGTGTAGTATGCTCGTCTTTCCCTTCGACGATAGAGGATTTGTTAAGCAGTGTTGACGTGAATCCGATCACTAGTAGCAGGTCTATGCAGGAAGCCCTGGCTTCTTTAAGTGCCATCACTTTCTGAAATGAACAGTTATCAAATTATTCAGTTATACTTTCCTTTTGTAGATGTGCACTACATGAAACGGGTGCAGCTTCAGCTTCGTGCCTTTTAAAGGATTTTTTGATTTAATTCCTGTGGAAAGGCATGAAAGGAGTTCACTCCTAAAATGCGTGTTCATCGGGTGAATTCCCTAACTTCTGCAAGATTGCATGAGTGGTGCCTATCTACTAAACGGGCGATAAGACTCTTCCAGCTAACTATCGCCTAGTTAGCATCCTTAGTGCAAAGACAAAAAAAAAATGAAAAATAAAATGCACTATTACCCTTTTCATATTTTTTATCAATGAAACCTTATAAATTCTACCGACTTACTAACCACTAACTTCACTCTGTAATTGTATAAATAATGATATACCGGCTATGCTCTCAGGACCTATGCGCCAAAGCAAATAAAGAGTGAGTAAATAATTGTCTCAAAATAGCCACGAAGGCAATAGAAGCATCATGGCGAATTCCGCGCTAAAATAAGCTCATAGTTATAGTGATCAACTCTGTTAGATATCCACAATTCTGAGGCATTGAGAGTCCAACACCCACAACAAGGAGCTGTTTGTTACTTGTCACTGTTGGACATATATATAATATAGAACAAACTCCAGGTAAGTTCTCTGTCATCGCCGAGCCCCATGCACTGAAATATCGTGAAAATAATTCATTAATCGAATGCATTACTTTCAAACAGGGGCGCCGGAAGTGGGGGGCAGGGGGGGCCAAATGCCCCCCCTGAATCGGCT